GCGTGGCAGTGGCCATCGAAGGTGAGCATTTTCTCACTGAAGTCGGTTACGACGCCGAACTGCAGTCAGGTCAAGACCCTGGTGAGGACGACCAGCACGCAGATGACCTTCTGACAGATTGTGCAGAAATTATTGTGCAAACCCACAGTTTCATCAGCTGTCCGGATGGCTGGTCTCAGACGATCCCGCAGGTGAAGAAGTCGGATGTGGAGGTCCTGGGCTGGCGTGGTTACACATTGTCTGCGGTTGTGAGGCCGGTTGGACGTACTGCCAAATTCTCTAAAATGACGTTGGAGGCGGCTTATGGTAGAGAAATGAACATTACATTATCTGGCAACAGCTCTGGTGGACATTCCTGCAGTCAGCATGCCAATTGCACGCTCCTTCAAAACTTGAGACATCTTTAGCATTGTGTTGTGTGACAAAACTGCACATTTTAGAGTGGCCTTTTATTGTCCCCAGGCACAAGGTGCACCTGTGTAATGATCATGCTGTTTAATCAGCTTCTTGATATGCCACACCTGTCAGGTGGATGGATTATCTTGGAAAACGAGAAATGCTCACTAACAGGGATGTAAACAAATGTGTGCACAAAAATTGAGAGAAATAATCTTTTTGTGCTTATGGAACATTTCTGGGATCTTTTATTTCAGCTCATGAAACATGGGACCAACACTTTACATGTTGTGTTGATATTTTTGCCCAGTATATTATGCTTCCACACACACACACATACACACGAGAGAGAGAGAGAGAGAGAGAGAGAGGCAGGTCATCTAGCAAGAAGCTTGGCAGCTCAATAAAGGAAAGCTAATCCAACATGTCACATTGAAGATGTTTGTAGTCCTTCAGAAAGCAGCTATATTGACTGTGTGTATTTCAGACATGCCAAGAAAGTTGGACCCATTTGAGAGAACCAAAGTCAAAGGAAAGCTTGGTAGAGTGCCAGACTGCCAGAAGAGAAGAAATGAAAAGGTCTCCTCAGTTTTATTGTGCTCAAACGACTGAAAACAAACCTCTTTAACAGTGGTATAAACCAAATAAAACATTCTCTATAAAATGCTTAATTACATTACCACACTTTATTTGAGATTTCTTAAATACCTTTACCATGCATTCAAAACCGCAGCACGTTGAATTCAGCCCAAACACTATTTTGACTAATAAAATCACCTAATGAATGTACACCTGTCATTATATGCTAATTAAATACTACTCCAGGCAGATTTTGAAGTGTTGTCATTAATTTTTCCATGCATGTATTAATGAGAGTAGAGGCAGTGTGGGCCAGGGGAAGGGAGGGAGGGGACTGGCAGGGGAGGGGCTCTGGAGTGCTGGGTTCAATTGACAAGGCCTTCAGTGACAACAGGGAAAAGCGCAGGTAGAGGGAGAGAGAGCAGCGGGCGAAAGAAGAGGCCATCTCAGGTCTCTCTCTCTCAATGCCGGCTGTTTTTAGGCTGACCAAAACTAGGTCAGTCTCTGTGATAGAGAAATGACAGTCTAAATGGCTTTGCCAAAGCGGAGAGGGAAAGGGGGGGGGGGGGGGGGTCGAGAGTATAATTGGCATATATCTCTTGCAAAAGTTGCAATGCTTAAGTTCATGTCATGACTGCTCAATGTGCAACAAACCATTTTTGGCACAAGGCTAATTGTGTTGGACTAGGTCTGTGCCAGGATCCACCAAGTGGTCAAAATAGAGAAACTCCCAAGGGCTCTCTTCAAATAAATTATCTACAGTAGCTACTGTACATACCAGGGGTACTGAAATGTCCTGCACAAGTCCCTATAAATGTAGGTGTAGTGAATCAGGTCCTCTTCTGGCTGTACCAGGTAGAGAGGAACAAGGCTCCGAGGGGTGGCCGGTCCTCTTCTGGCTGTACCGGGTAGAGAGGAACCAGGCTCCGAGGTGTGGCCGGTCCTCTTCTGGCTGTACCGGCTAGAGTGGAACCAGGCTCCGAGGGGTGGCCGGTCCTCTTCTGGCTGTACCGGGTAGAGAGGAACCAGGCTCCGAGGGGTGGCTGGTCCTTTTCTGGCTGTACCGGGTAGAGATCATGAGTAGATGTGGCCATAAAGCCAGATCGTTTTTCAAGATGTTCAAACGTTCATAGATGACCAGCAGGGTCAGAGAATAACTATTATGGGCTATAGAGGGTGCAACACTTCAAGAGTCTAATGTCAGAAGGCTTTTCATAGTCAGGGATTCAACATACACTACATTACCAAACAAATGTTGGCACCCGCTCGTTGAACATCTCATTCCCAAATCATGGGCATTAATATGAAGCAAGTCCCCCCTTTGCTGCTATAACATCCTCCACTCTTCTGGGAAGGTGTTCCAATTCATCCCAAAGGTGTTCGATGGGGTTGAGGTCAGGGATCTGTGCAGGCCAGTCAAGTCCTTCCACAACGGTCTCGAGAAACCATTTCTGTATGGACCTCGCTTTGTGCACGAGGGCATTGTCATGCTAAAACAGGAAAGGGCATTCCCCAAACTGTTGCCACAAAGTTGGAAGCACAGAAACGTCTAGAATGTTATTGTATGCTGTAGCGTTACGATTTCCCTTCAATGGAACTAAAGGGCCTCGCCCGAACCATGAAAAACAGCCCCAGACTATTATTCCTCCTCCACCAAACTGTACAGTTGGCACTATGCATTCGGGCAGGTAGCGTTCTCCTGGCATCAACCAAACCCAGATTTGTCCGTCGGACTGCCAGATGGTGAAGTGTGATTCATTACTCCAGAGAACACGTTTCCACTGCTCCAGAGTCCAATGGTGGCGAGCTTTACACCACTCCAGCCGACGCTTGGCATTGCGCATGGTGGTCTTAGGCTTGTGTGCGGCTGCTCGGCCATGGAAACCCATTTCATGAAGCTCCCGATGAACAGTTCTTGTGCTGACGTTGCTTCCAGAGGCAGTTTGGAACTCCATTGCAAGTTGCAACCGAGAACAGACGACTTTTACACACTACACTACCGGTCAAATGTTTTAGAACACATACTCTTTCAAGGGTTTTTCTTTATTTTTGCTATGTTCTACATTGTAGAATAATAGTGAAGACATCAAAACTATGAAATAACACATATGGAATCATGTAGTAACCAAAAAAGTGTTAAACAAATCAAAATATATGTTATATTTGAGATTCTTCAAATAGCCACCCTTTGCCTTGATGACAGCTTTGCACACTCTTGGCATTCTCTCAACCAGCTTCACCTTGAATGCTTTTCCAACAGTCTTGAAGGAGTTCCCACATATGCTGAGCACTTCTTGGCTGCTTTTCCTTCACTGCTTTTCCACACCATCTCAATTTGGTTGAGGTCGGGAGATTGTGGAGGCCAGGTCATCTGATGCAGCACTCCATCACTCTCCTTCTTGGTAAAATAGCCCTTACACAGCCTGGAGGTGTGTTGGGTCATTGTCCTGTTGAAAAACAAATGATAATCCCACTAAGCCCAAACCAGATGGGATGGCGTATCGCTGCAGAATGCTGTGGTAGCCATGCTGGTTAAGTGTGCCTTGAATTCTGTCACTGAAGGCCTTGTCAATTGTCACCAGTAAAGCACCCCCAAACCATAACACCTCCTCCTCCATGCTTTACGGTGGGAAATACACATGCGGAGATCATCCGTTCATCCACACCGCGTCTCACAAAGACACGGCGGTTGGAACCAGAAATCTCCAATTTGGACTCCAGACCAAAGGACAAATTTGCACCGGTCTAATGTCCATTGCTCGTGTTTCTTGGCCCAAGCAAGTCTCTTCTTCTTATTGGTGTCCTTTAGCAGTGGTTTCTTTGCAGCAATTGAACCATGAAGGCCTGATTCACACAGTCTCCTCTGAACAGTTGATGTTGAGATGTGTCTGTTACTTGAACTCTGTGAAGCATTTATTTGGGCTGCAATTTCTGAGGCTGGTAACTCTAATGAACTTATCCTCTGCAGCAGATGTAACTCTGAGTCTTCCATTCCTGTGGAGGTCCTCATGAGAGCTAGTTTCATCATAGCGCGTTATGGTTTTTGCGACTGCACTTAAAGAAAATGTCAAAGTTCTTGAAATGTGCCGTATTGACTGACCTTCATGTCTTAAAGTAATGATGGACTGTCATTTGTCTTTGCTTATTTGAGCTGTTCTTGCCATAAATAGGTATTTTACCAAATAGGGCTATCTTCTCTATACCCCCCCCCCCTACCTTATCACAACACAACTGATTGGCTCTAACACATTAAGAAGGAAATAAATTCCACACATGTATTTTTAAGAAGGCATACCTGGTAATTGAAACGCATTCCAGGTGACTACCTCATGAAGCCGGTTGAGAGAATACCAAGAGTGTGCAAAGCTGTCATCAAGGCAAAGGGTGGCTATTTGAAGAATCTCAAATATAACATATTTTGATTTGTTTAACACTTTTTTGGTTACTACATGATTCCATATGTGTTATTTCATAGTTTTGATGTCTTCACTATTATTCTACAATGTAGAAAATAGTAAAAATAAAGAAAGACCCTTGAATGAGTAAGTGTTCTAAAACTTTTGGCCGGTAGTGTACACGCTTCAACAGTCCCGTTCTGTGAGCTTGTGTGGCCTACCACTTCGCGGCTGAGCCGTTGTTGCTCCTAGACGTTTCCACTTCACAATAACAGCACTTACAATTGACCGGGGAAGCTGTAGCAGGGCAGACATTTGGTGAACTGATTTGTTGGGTAGGTGGCATCCTATGACAGTGCCACGTTGAAAGTCACTGAGCTCTTCAGTAAGGCCATTCTACTGCCAATGTTTGTCTATGGAGATTGCATGGTGGTGTGCTCGATTTTATACACCTATCAGTAACAAGTATGGCTGAAATAGCCAAATCCACTCATTTAAAAGGGGTGTCAACATACTTTCATGATAATATTTGGCCAATCGACAGCCATCAACTTATGTGTAATGCTCAAACTAAATTAAACCGTAGCAGAGGAAGATCCACCTTTATTTATTGAAACTGCTTGCATACAAAATATATTGCACTATAACCAAACAATGTCAACATAAAACCCAATCTATTTCGCTAATATGTACAAAGAAAATATTGCCCAAAGTGCAGTAACATACAAGGTGTCTACCTTGGTCCAGTATCTGCTTTCAAACCACAACTGCCTACAATGTGTGCAAGAAGAAATGTTTTACAATTGTATTTTTCTTTAATCTTATAAATTCCCCAAATAAAGAACTAGAAAACAGTCTGTTTGGCAACACTGAGACATTGCTTGTCCTTGACAAGAGTAGACTGTATTAGATCATTAAAATACCAGGAGGAAACCATTTATGCCCCTGGCAGGATTAGATAAAGTCCCAGATGGTTGAGTAAACCATTTATGCACCTGGCAGGGTTAGATAAAGTCCCAGATGGTTGAGTAAACCATTTATGCACCTGGCAGGGTTAGATAAAGTTCCAGATGGTTGGTGCCATTCTAAAGAGACCATGGCCCACGTTGCTCAGGCGGTTCATAACAACCTCATCAAACGTATCTCTTCTTCTGAACCCCTCAGCTGGACTAAACCTACCATTTTGCTGATCTCACCCCTCTGCTATTAGTACAAAATATTAAATTAATGTCTATGTAATTTCATCATCATTGTCAGACTGGGCCAGTTCAATTGTTGACTGTTAATGCTGGGGAGAGCAGTGGCTGTTAGCCTGCTGAAATACTATTTTGTTAATTGGACATGAGCAAAATTACATCGAGACAAGAGAGGCTGACAGCTGTTGACTGATGCCCTTTACCTGTACACCATCCAACGTTGCAATTTAGAGAGTAAACAAGAAAACGTCTAAATAAATTCAAACAAGACACTAGCTATATCCTCAACTGTAAACTAAGGTTTTAATCCACAAACACTGATCGGATATAAGACATACGGTTATAACATGGGACTAAATTTCATCCTCCATACGGTAAAGGTACAGGAGACTCCGTTAGCTATAGGTTATCTAAACTTGGTAATATTGTTGACAGCATTCATGTGATTCACCTGCTGAAGAAATCTTATCACATAGTTTATTATAGTTCATATTATTTAGTAGTTGCAGATAACACAAATAAAAGGATTAAGTGCACATTTGAAGTTCAATCCAAAACAATTGCAAAAAAGTATTTTAACAAATTAGATATACAGTATGCAACCCACTTTATCATTTACAATCTAATGACCAATTGCCAATATATGAACAACATGTTAGGGTTTGAGAGAGGTGTGCCACTCTTTGCATTGACACTTGGAAATAAAAAACCAACAGGAAAGTGATTGTTGGTCAATGCATGGTGAAAGGACCATGTTCTCAATATCTCTCCCCAGTTTCACATAGTTCATGTTAAAAGGTCCATATAAGTGATTCTGTCATAAGGTACTGTTCAGTGTTTAGACAATATGGAGTCATACCTGAAACGAATGGTCTCCATTAAATGTAGCCATTGTGTGGAATGACAAAATAATCTGTTGAGACCTTGAATCAAAATCCACACAAACCCACAGCATCTTTCTCCACTGTGTGCCCGTTGTAAGATCGATATTGAGTTCATGGTCATTCCCCCTTTTCAAAAGAAGAAATGCTTTATCACTGGCAAGAAAAAGTCAATCATCATCCCTATTCAAGCAATATTCAGCACAAGGAAACAGAAACAAAGTGACACTTAAGAAAACTCAGATTGCCGACTTCCCCCCCAATGTGGTAACCTATGACAATAATGAACATGCATTGCAAGGTTAAAAAGACAGTTTTCATTTTTTAGATGGTGAGCTGTGTGTTCACTACACACCAGTAAAATCCATTACCGTTTTCCCAATGTCGTCGTCTTCTTCCCTGATTTCAACTTGTATTTGTGATACTATCCACAGGAGATAAAGGCACAGATCAGACAGGAGGGGTATTCTTTTTTGTTGTCATTTTTGTTTTTTTGCTAATGATGCAGCTGTGACCTCACATGATAATGAGTTCTATATTCCACTGTGACACAGGGCTCCATAAACACATGCCATGAGAGAGAGAGAGCAGGTAGGAAGGACCAAACAATCCAACCCTCTAACCGGAGAAAAGGCTAGTACGTGAACAAGCGATAGAAAACCATATCCTTTAAGAAATACAGATTCATCAGGGTGGCCCCTCTTTTTGTTTTAAACAAATTTTCTTCCCACAGCTTTTAAATCGTCTGATAGGTAGTCGTCAACAATGTCAATTAGAAAAAGACTGCAGTCGCCATTTGCCTTCTCTTGTTAACCCCTAAAACCCTAGATGGCTCCTTCCCTGTACACAGTAACCCACCCAACACCCCATCCACCTACCGCTTATGCTGCCGGAGTTGGTTTGTCCAAAGTGTGCTTAATTTCAGCCCTGACTTGCTCCTCTTTGGCCTAACGTGTCTTTAATGAAGAAGCTTCTGGATTGATGGCGTGGTGAGAGACATGAGGGTGCCTTCCGTCAGCCCCGTCTACGACACTCCGTTCACCATCGCCAGGGTTATGGCGGCTGCTTCACCACCAGGGCTTTCCTGCTTATCCTTCTTGATGGGTCTCTGTCGGTTGGCTCCGGGGCCATCGCCTGCGGGACCCTGGGGGCCTCTGGCTCCAGCATGAACACTCCTCTCATTGTTACCGTCCACTCTGATCTGTGGGACCAGAGACAGGAGGACACTGTATGAGAAGGTAAATTACATTGGGGAGATGCTGGACGACTAAGTACAGTCACTTAGAGTTCGGATGCATTTCTATCCAATTCTCCCGGATAGTCACACGACAGCGCTATCACTTTACGTTTGCACGTGACGTGTGTGACCAGTAAATTGGCACCGGTATAAATCGCGGTTCGGCCGTGTGGGGCAAAAGTCCCGAGGCGTGGGAGCTGGGACTGTCGTTCCCGCATCTCCCCAATTTGAATAAAGCATAAGCCTCTGTCAGAGGTCAATGATTAAGTTGCTAAATGTGTCATGATATGTCATAAAATATGACCAAATGACAAAATAAAGTTCCTACGAAGGGCAAACTTTACGATTATGTACATTTCTCCTCCGAGAGCTCCTTGATATAAAGAGGGTACAGGCTGACACCTAGTGGTCCTGTTGTGACACAGCAACAGTTATTCCAAACGAGACACTGTCAGGATCAAAGAAAAGCTGGGGTACCTTAATTACGCCGATTCTGAAACCGTTTACTCCAAACAAAAACATTTTTTTGCAACAAAAACTAGAGTTTCTATTGGACAAATTCAGGTAGGTCCCTCCCAGTTCTGAATACACCCCTGATGCGTGTGGAATTCCTCACCTGCAAAGAATCTTCCAGAGGCCTCAGCTTAGGGTCTCTGGTATTCCGTGAGCGTGACTCAGTCCACTGGATGTCTTCAGCTACTTAGGAACCAGAGAGACAGACAGGATTAAAACTCAATCTCAAATGTTATCACGGCAGGATGATGAGATCATTACTCTGACTCAAACAGTAGTACATAAAACCCTAAGGCAATGAATGCATTTATGTACAGACAGAGACACTAGGCCCTTGTACAGCAGGGTATTATAGTAAGAATGTTACATTTACAGGCTAGTTGAATAAGGTTAGCGCAGACCTTTGAAGCCTCCCCCTCCTCTTCCTCTCCCTCCCCGTCCACGAGGCCCTCCTCTCTTGCGTGTATCGGGTCGTTTGGGGAAGCCCCCGGTCAGCTCCTCCTCAGTGGGGGCCAGAGACCAGTCACTCAGCTCGTCCTTGTGGTCCGACTCTGTCTCAGAGGCATTGGAAGCCTCAGAGTTGGTGCCTGGTGAGAGGGATATAAGTTATTCTGCAGACCAGCAACTAATTGAGTTCAGCTTATATAGTTCTTCTTATAGCCATAGTTAGTTCCACTCAGTTGCCAACGGTGATATGAGCCACATGGTGCATATGAACATAGTGAAATATAGATTACTGTTCCATATGGACCTACAGTTCCACTCTGTCCCATACATACCTGAGGCTAAAGAGGGACCACCGCGTCGGCCACGACCTCCTCCTCCCCTGCTGAACGGCTTCCCTCCTCTCTGGGAGCCCATGCCCATCATCCCCAGGCCGCCGTTGTCTACGATGAAAGTCTTGTTATCAGGCCGTCCAGTCCCTGGGCCCCCCCTGGGGCCTCCTCCCCCAATCTGCCTCAGCTGCTCGTCTATCTGCAGTCGCTCCATACGGAGCTGGTCCACTTCCTATAGGGACACACAGTGTCTGTATTCAACATACTTATTCAGAAGTCACTCCCATCTCTAATAGTGAAAGCTAGGTAGAATCTGCCATTCTGATGAAGCAAGCAATCAATGTGTAGACTAACTGCTGCTTTAAGTATTCAATTGTAAGTAGCTTTGGATCAAAGCGTCTGCCAAGTGGCATACATCTCAACATCCATAAAAGCATCAGAATCATGTTGCCGATTTTAGCAGAGCAATAGGGGCAAGCTTCTAACCTTCAGATAGTTGAGATGATAGTCCAACAGTACTTTAGCATTGGAGATGCTCTCCTTTGTCCCCACAAAGACAAATGGCACCATGCCCTGTAAGAGAAATAAACAGACATGATCTAATGAGGACAGAGTGACGGCAGAGTCCTCACTACAGGTTTTGTACACTTTAAGCCGATAGTTTTGAAAGCAGCGCTCAAGAGCCAAAACGGATCCCCGGAAATTGTGCACAACGTCACACATGTGTATCACGTGGCTACTCTCCAGCCCTGCAGGTATGTGCACAAAGAGGAAAACAAGTCTTAGGTGTGCATGCTGTGTACACGTGCTTGTGCCCATCCTGCAACCTCATTGGACAGTACTGTGCTGACCTGATCCTGGCTCCCACTTTAACCTTGCAACCTCAATGGACATGATTCCACCTGCCAATCAACATCGTCCATCAGTTTAGGTCATTGTAGTCTATAAGCCAGCGAACGAGCGACCGGGAGTTGTCAACGTGATAATGTCATTTAGAAGTATATTTTGCATCAAATACCCTACTCCTTGCAAGTCCTGTAGCCCAGTGGTTACCAAACTGTTTCCCTTGGGGGCCTCACCTTCCATCATTGGGGAACATCCCACATCCCCGCTGCCGACCCCTGCATGCTGACGTAGTACACACAAAAATTATTTTTCCGCTTACGTTTTCATGTTCCCCCCAAAAAATGTTTCCATCGCATTTTCAACTCTATCGATAGTTTTGTCACGTAAACTGTTGCGTTAAGAAGCAAATGTGCCTACTATGCTCTTGGCACGCGATCTAGCCAACAGTTCGCAGATACAGTGACGGTCTGAACCCGGCCCTGTGCAACTGGGTCCTGTACTTCCTGACGGGCTGCCCCCAGGTGGTGAAGGTAGGAAACAACACCTCCACTACCAGAGGGTAGTACGGTCTGCCCAACGCATCACACTGCCTGCCCTCCAGGACACCTACAGCACCCGATGTCACAGGAAGGCCAAAAAGACCCAAAACCACCCGAGCCAAGGCCTGTTCACCCCGCTATCATCCAGAAGGCGAGGTCAGTACAGGTGCATCAAAGCTTGGACCGCGAGACTGAAAAACAGCTTCTATCTCAAGGTTCAATGGGTGATACACTTTGTCAATTCTAGCCACTTACCTCGTCCACTGGAGGTGGCTTCTTGTTGTTCTCTGCCTCAATCCGAACTCGAACAACACCAGATTTATCCACCACTTCCTGGATCAGCTTCCCATTTTTCCCAATGACTTTCCCTGGCAAAGGAGATGTGGTATTAGAATAGGAAACGATGATAGCATGAAGACTATGAGTTGATTACTTTTCAAACAACACATTGTATGTTCCACTTTACCCACTAAATTCCTTGGTACTTTGATGACATCTTCAGAAAACTCCAAGAAGCTCCTAGCCTTGCGGACAGCCTCTTGGTCCTGCAATTGAATCATACCCATCGGAGATGTCTTTCAATAATATGACCAAGTAAATATACCTTGTGAGTAAAGAGGTTTATGAGCATTCATTATATTTGTGCTAGTGGTGTGGTAAGCTCCCTACCTCTCCATAGATGTGGAAGGTGCAGGTCTCTTCATCCAGGTCTATGGTGGTGACCCCAGGTACTTTCCTGGCCTGCTGGATGTTGGCACCGTGGGTCCCAATGGCCAGCCCCATCAGGTCATCCCGGACCACAAACTGTTCATGGAACCTGGACGCCAGCTGCCGAGAGCTCTGCACACAAACCATTACCCATGCATGGCTTAGCCATACTTCTCCTCACGCAGAGAGACAGCCTATTGGAGGTTAACAAGGCTAACATGGCTTAGCCTTCTTTTAATAATATAATAATAATAATAATAATAATAAGCCATTTAGCAGACTTTTGAGACAATGAGTTTCACTTGTGAGTGTGTTTAAACTTTACGTACTTCCAGTTGGCGGCTAGCCTCCTCGTTCCTCTGCATTAGGGACAGCTTGGTGCGCAGGCTCCGGAAATGCATGTCGCTCAGCATCTGCGCCCTTTTGGTTGTAACCTCATTCACGGACTAAAACAAGAGGACTGATGTGATCACACAATATCTAACAGGGACTGAGTTATGAAACTTTGAGAAGCCAGAAAAATAATCAAACGTACCAGAATAACAAGCTGCTTTTTGTCTGAGTCATAAGTGACATTGAATGCTCCCAATGCCTTCTTAAAATCTTTATGCGAGTCTTTTAAACACCTAAGAACACAAAACACAGTTCCCCCCCATAGCAATAGTCACATCAGCCTCAAATCAACAGTCACACATGGAAGCAATGACAACATAAAACAATTACTTTACTTAAAAAGCCTTGAAGAATAGGCCCACTTACATTTGCCGCAAGTCCTCTGGGACATCCAGATGAATTTTCAGGAAAGAGTTTTTTGTAGCTGGCTTGTTTGGGTTCACAGGTCGTAACCTCTCTAATGTGACTATTTCATTGAGCGTGGCATCACAAGCAGTATACTCTATGACATAAAACTGAGAGGAAAGAAGGTACTATGTTATGGGGATCATCATTATAATAATATTACAGTAGCTACATAATAATAAACGAATGCAAACTCTCGCTCGAACCGCTGCATTGGACTTACCTCACCCTTCACCATCCGAACTGTCGCCAGCCACCAGCCACATGGTTCTTTGTCATTGGCCCTAGAATAAACCTGTGGATAGAACAGTGGATAATTGATTAAGTACATTTTGTTGAGTTCTTCTCATTGATATCCATTGAAACTGGCCACTGCGGTAGACATTAACCAAAAACCTGCAAATAACCAAACAGAAAGAACTAAAACAGCAGTTCCCTTCTGCTTTCAAGAAAAGCCTAACCATCGAGTAACCATTGTATAATCTAGCCTACTAGTACTCAGCAAAGTATTAGGTTTAATTGACATTGACTAGTGGGAGGGAAGTCCTTATCCATTACTTACAGCACATACCTCAACTTCATCACTCTCGTTTATCTCTTTCTGAAAACCTGTGGGTGGAGGAAATCGAACATCATGGAAGGGAATTTGACGGTCTGGCTGCCAACTGAAAGAATAGAAATTAACAAATGAAACCAGGGCACATCACAAACGGAAATGTAACAACTGAACATGCACTTTAGTTCAATTAAATGAGACAAAGTGTTATTTGCAAGGACAACTAACGTTAGCTAGCTAGTTATAGTAGATGCATTGACATGTAATCCACAGTGGTTAATGGAGCTCTCATGTCTGGGTCTGATTCAAAGTAGCCTAACATTACTGTTGTTAATTAACAAGCTACTTAGCTAACTGAATAGGCTACGATTCATTTGGCGAGAGAGTTAATTTGCTAGCTGACTGGAGTATGTTGCCAGGAAGCGAACGTTAGTTAGCTAGCAACTCACTTGTTTTCAAAGGACACAGTGACAGAACTTTCATGAACATCCTTCAAATAGGCCTAAAAGGAGAAAAGGGTTGAGAAAATACAATACATTTTTAGGCAAAGGCAAACAGTCATTGCGCCAAGAGGTCAAAGCCTAAAGATTAATCTCGTTGACTGCTGCTAGCTAGATAACAAGCAAGATTAATTAGTTAGCTACACGTTAGCTAGCTAGCGGTAACATCTAAAACTACTCGACTAAAGAACAAATGCCACCAACGACACGAAACTATATACCCGGTATGGCCTATTTTTTTTTTAAACAACTGTAGCTAGATAACTAGGTTGCTACTGTCTGTAGCTAGCTAACGTTAGCTACAGACAGTAGCAACCTAGTTATCTATCTAACGTTAGCTAGCATTGGTTGGCTGTCTGTGGCAAGAAGCAGACTGTGCTGTCTATATTGTATGGGCCTGACGTTAAACCTAGCTAGATTAGCTAGCTGGTAGATAGATCACTGAATGACACAATGCAAACAATAAAAATTTATAATAATCAAATTACTTTTGGAAACATATTACAACTAGCAGTTAGCTACCAACATACCTTGTAAAAAGCCCCACTCGTCCCCCTGACTTCAACCGCTAGCTCGTCCATGACGCCTATGCTAAGCTAGCTAATGTAATGTTAGCTAAAAACAATCTTTGTGCGTGCAAAGCTCCGGTCTTGGATCCCCGGTAACGTTGTTTCCCTGTTGTACTCGTTAATATTTCGATTTGCAAAGTTGCAGTTGAAGATTTCTAAAGAAACGAAAGCGAAACATTTAAATGATGCTAGAATACACAGTTCACAACTGCTCTTGCAATGCACGCATTGATGTAAACATAAGAGCCTCCCTTTCCCACGTCACGTGACAAGGGTCAACTTTTAATCATGTCCACTCCGTTTCATTTAATTGGTTTCTCATCAGGAATGAGTGGGTCAGTGATCACTGTGCAATGGATTAATAATCATCATAGGTAAAAATGTTTATGAACAATTAAATATATATATATATAATTGCTGCAAAGAAACCACTACTAAAGTGAAGATAGCCCTATTTGGTAGAATACCAATTTATGGCAAGAACAGCTCAAATAAGCAAAGAGAAATGACAGTCCATCATTACTTTAAGACATGAAGGTCAGTCAATACGGCACATTTCAAGAACTTTGAAAGTTTCTTTAAGTGCAGTCGCAAAAACCATAACGCGCTATGATGAAACTGGCTCTCATGAGGACCTCCACAGGAATGGAAGACCCAGAGTTACCTCTGCTGCAGAGGATAAGTTCATTAGAGTTACCAGCCTCAGAAATTGCAGCCCAAATAAATGCTTCACAGAGTTCAAGTAACAGACACATCTCAACATCAACTGTTTAGAGGAGACTGTGTGAATCAGGCCTTCATGGTCGAATTGCTGCAAAGAAACCACTGCTAAAGGACACCAATAAGAAGAAGAGACTTGCTTGGGCCAAGAAACATGAGCAATGGACATTAGACCGGTGGAAATTTGTCCTTTGGTCTGGAGTCCAAATTGGAGATTTTTGGTTCCAACCGCCGTGTCTTTGTGAGACGCGGTGTGGGTGAACGGATGATCTCTGCATGTATATTTCCCACCGTAAAGCATGGAGGAGGAGTTGTTATGGTGTGGGGGTGCTTTGCTGTTGACACTGTCTGTGATCTATTTAGAATTCAAGGCACACTTAACCAGCATGGCTACCACAGCATTCTGCAGCAATACGCCATCCCATCTGGTTTGGGCTTAGTGGGACTATTATTTTGTTTTTCAACAGGACAATGACCCAATACACCTCGAGGCTGTGTAAGGGCTATTTTACCAAGAAGGAGAGTGATGGAGTGCTGCATCAGATGACCTGACTTCCACAATACACCGACCTCAACCAAATTAAAAAATATGGTTTGGAATGAGTCGGACCGCAGAGTGAAGGAAAAGCAGCCAACAAGTGCTCAGCATATGTGGGAACTCCTTCAAGACTGTTGGAAAAGCATTCCAGGTGAAGCTGGTTGAGAGAATGCCAAGAGTGTGCAAAGATGTCATCATTGCAAAGGGTGGCCATTTGAAGAATCTCAAATATATAATATATTTTGATTTGTTTAACACTTTATTTGGTTACTACATGATTCCATATGTGTTATATCATAGTTTTGATGTCTTCACTATTATTCTACAATGTAGAAAATAGTAAAAATAAAGAAAAACCTTTCAATGTGTAGGTGTTCTAAAACTTTTGACCGGGAGTGTATTTCTGGTTAAAAATAATATGAATGCTGAGTTTGGTGGAGTTGTGAAGTTTAAAAACTGTACGTCCATTGTCCATCCCCATACACACATTCATGATGTCCCCAATATGCAACATATAATGTAATGTAATGAAACCTAAATATGAGACATGACAAATGAATTACTGTGAGATTTTTAATTTGCTGCAGTTTCAGTAGACAGTAGATTGAAACAGACTGTATCTGGTGGGCATGAATATACAGGCTGCCAGCAGCGTTAATACGTTCGTGTGGGGCTACAAATCACCTCCAGTTTGGAGAGTCTTTTGTGGAATGGATTCATTTTACACTGCCACAGGAGGCTCTAAAATATAACTTAGTCAGGGCATTGCTGGAGAAATTGCATTATAAATCCAGGTACAATGTCTTTATAACAATTTTTTAAATCACTGTTTGCTGTAGACCTACCTATTATAGATTAATAGTGTGGGTTTATTTCGCTAGTGAACAGCAATTCAATGAATGGTTGCGATACAATACTTTCTCAACAATGCATAGTCTGAAATGATAGGTGTATAGTTAATATTTTTTCTGCTTATGGAATCTCTCTTTACATATCCATTCATGTGTCGAACTATAAGCTGTAAAACAAAAACAAAAAATATATTATTGTCTCATACACCGGATAGATGCAGTGAAATGTGCAGGTTGACGTTTATTGTCATGAGTCTTGTCCTGGAGACAGAACTGAGGGATTTCCCATTAGATTGGCCAGCTGCAATGTCAAAATTGTCTATATTGTAAAAATGTATGACAACAAAATGTGCTTTTTGGTCTTAATTTAAGGTTAGGGTTAGGCATTAGGGTTAGCAGTGTGGTTAAGGTTAGGGTTAGGATTAAAATCAGATTTTATGTGCCAGCTAGTGACCTCTCTGCAGAGCCGCCTCCAGAACAAGATTCATGAAGAAAAATGCTAACCTGCATGAAATGTTTTACAGGGTCAGCCATAGTAGTGCAGCGCCCTGGAGCAAATGCCTTGCTCAAGTGCACATCGACAGATTTTTCACCTTTTCAGCTCGGGTATTCGAACCAGCGACCTTTCGGTTACTGGCCCAACGCTCTAACCGCATGCTCACTTCATTTCTGTGTTTTGTATAGTTCGGACCAAAATTACATTGGCTTTCACATAATACTCAATGCAATATCAGTACGCAACAGCATTGTCAGTCCTCTAAGGGAATTACTCTCACATTTTAGCACTAGATGTCAGTACTGCACTCTCAAATAATAAAGCAGCAAGCGTATGTGAGCTGCATTGGATTCCCTCATACCTAACAGAACATCATTGGATTCCCTCATACCTAACAGAACATCATTGGATTCCCTCATACCTAACATAACATCATTGGATTCCCTCATACCTAACAGAACATCATTGGATTCCCTCATACCTAACAGAACATAATTGGATTCCATCATACCTGACAGAACATCATTGGATTCCATCATACCTAACATAACATCATTGGATTCCCTCATACCTAACAGAACATCATTGGATTCCATCATACCTGACAGAACATCATTGGATTCCATCATACCTAACAGAACATCATTGGATTCCCTCATACATAACAGAACATCATTGGATTCCCTCATACCTAACAAAACATCATTGGATTCCCTCATACCTAACAGAACATAATTGGATTCCATCATACCTAACAGAACATCAGTTTCAATATTTTCAAACTGTACTAGGTCCAGTGTACCCCAACTCATGCGGTGTTGATCAGAACTATGGACTGTCCTTAGGCTCCAGTCTAAGTATTGGATAACCAACCTTGACAGTCAGAATGAGAATGCTTTGAAAACCTCACACCCAATCTAGATGTGTAGTATAGTTTATTGTAGTATTATTACTTCTAAGGATACAATCTTACCAATGCATCCAATGGCAAAATTGCTGTTGACTTGACATTACATTTTATGTCAGGTGTATGACATTGTCAATAGATTGTATAATGAAATACATGTATCCATTGTTGAGGCACAGTAAGTCAAAGCCATTACAACAACTGTAGATACATGTTATGATGAGTTTTCAGCAAGGTCTTGCCTCACATAACCCATTTTGTATTGCTGAGCACTGTTTTCAACTGAAGTGATTTCATGGTGTTGACAAGATGTGCGGGAACATAAAAACCTAATGTGTTTGGCCATAGGCGAAGGAAAAGCTTGCCTCTTCTCTTCCATGCTGCAGAGGGCTCTGTGTGTGGCAAAGCCAGCCGTTCTCTCCCCATCCTGAGAGTGATCAAATAAACCTAACTGGCATGCCTGTCACACTATGAGCTCTGACTCAGTGAGCAGTTCATTGGGAGTTACTGCAGAGAACACAGCCACTTCTCTCTGCTTCAAGCAGGGGGGATGAAACACCCCCAGAATGGCACGCCGCTTTGTTTTGAGATGCACTCTCTGGATGTTGGCCCAGGTTCCTTTTTTTCTCCCAGAATGAGTTTCTTTAGGGGGTTTGGGGGAAGAGGGGTGGGGATTGGAGTGGTTGTCTATTCCAGGCTGTTTGAACCATAGAAATGGAATGAATAGAACGGATGTCTCCATTCAAATCCATGATGGCATAATGACTGAACTGGCAGCCATTTTGAGAGTACTCATGCCTAGGTCGAAAACATACAGGTTAAGACAACATCGTAATAAATCTGAGACCAGCACCATTGCTAACTAGCATAGCTGGTCCAATTGTTGCAAAGAGTTATGGGATAGTAGAATCCTGTTGTCTAAACCTTTGTCATCTTCAACCTAGACCCATGCCAGAAGTGAAAGCAGGAAGTGTACCCTTCAATCTGTGCTGTGATTTGTTGAGTCAACTCAACTGAAATGACAAAAAATCCATTCCATTGCATGAGCCACATCAGTTAGCATCATTTGAATGAATATTCAACATTACCATGACAATCCAGCATCAGTTGATAGAACACTCCAAATTACCATGGAAATGATTGCATCACAATGCCAGGCAGCCATTGCGAGTGCACCCATGAGTTTACCAGTCACATTTCCAGAGTTTTAGAGGTTCCAAGCCCATCCTGTTCATTATATTTCTATGGTTTGAACCCCCTGTCAGTGTGAGAAGGAGACATGACACAATGCAACTTCAACCATCCTTATTTTGTGCCTCAGCCTAGACATGTGTGACGGACAGTGTTCATCCTCCTGTACTATCTCATTCATTTACATTTTTGTATTTTACATTTTGTCTTTTGAAAACTAGATGGCTAATTTACTATTTTAATTCAGGGTTAAGAGAGGACATAAGTTTCAGTGTGACAGTAAAACAATATGGACAAGAATAATGATAGTGTGAGATCTGACTTGAGGTCAGCCGGTCAGTCAGGATACAAATAACAATGTCAAATATTGTAAATGTAAATGTAAAATATTGTCACAGGTTCAGAATGGTGGACCTTTTTGCCACATGCCCTGACAGTAAGATGGTCAGACGGAGAGGGAGCGTTAATGGATAAGCAGACAGAGCAGACAGAACCATGACTACCCTCTAATTGGTCTGCAAGGCCCATCAGCAACCCCCTGATCAGAGCACCGTAGGAACATGGCACTATGAAAATATAAATGTG